GTCAGAATAAGGGTCATGATGGTTAAAATAAAGATCATAAGGGTCAGAATAAGGATCACGAGGGTCAGAATAAGGGTCACGAGGGTTAGATTAGGATCACAAGATCGCAAGGGTCAAAATAATGGTCCAAATAAGGGAAACAAGGGTCAGATTAAGGGGCATAATGAGGGGTCAAACAAGGGTTATGAGGGTCAGAAACTACGGGTCAGCGGGGTCAGAATAAGGATGATGGAGGTCATATGAGGGTCATAGGAGGGCGGAGCAGGCAGGGGGCGTTCCCCCTTGTTTCTAATAAAAATGTTCAATGGAAAATATTCTACAGAAATAATCAAGTAAATAACCGACCATCCTCACTTTTTTGGAATATTTCTCTGCACGTCGTTAATGAAGGCAATTTGAAACCAAATAATTTGCCCCCGTGCTTCAGTTTTCCTCGTGTTAGGAACTTTGATGTAATTAAGATCTCAGCGTGTACTAATGTTACGTGGTAAGCAGTCCTTTGACGAGCCTCCGAGACTTCTGCTTTGAAACTATTTACCCACTTATATGACAATCAAGTGAATAAATAGATTTTCCAAATCCACCACAGCGGGCTCATCATTTCGGTATAATTACGCTTCTGTTTATCAAAATCTGGGAGTTTTGCATATGGTAATTTTCCTCCGAGCTTTTAAAAATAATGAAAAAAAGCATTATTTGATCATTGGAGAGCACAGACTGCATAAACAGTTGTTCTAAACATAATTAACCGTACCATAACCAAAATATTATGGATTTGCATAACCGCTGAGGCATTCAGCGTAGATAGTCCCAAGTTTGAGCTCGTTCGTATTCATCTGATATGCGGCCAACTCAACAGCTGAAACTATGACGACGAATGGATTCAGCGGTGATCCATCGCTCCTCCACCGTATACCATGGGATTGTTAATGATGACGATTAAACGTCCAAGCACCTCTTTATTATTCCGAATCGTTGACTGAAATGAGGTGAAATAACGGATTTACCGACGTGTGATTTATTCAGGCGTGCGCGCGTTGTACCGATTAGAATAATTTGACGATGCGGAGAATTGATGGCAACGGATGGCGTTGCCTAGGTAAATGGGAACAGTCAACAATGAAGATGTAACTATTCTCGTTTGGTGCTTGGTTCAATATATCGCTCATGTGGTAGTCTATTTTAGATCGAGTATTGGTTTTCGGGATAAATTAACGGTTTTATTATTTTAATGAATATTTTTCCGAATGAAAGTATTGTATTCGTCAAATCTGAAATTTCATATTTTTGTGTCAGGATTACTAATTTTGGCCTTAGGGGTTCCAGTGTGCTATTTATGATAACTGATAAAATCATTGTTCAAGTGAATCCAATGTGATTTAAAATATTCTTCCCAATGTCATCTTGACTGAGTTCGATCATTCAGGGAAGAGTAAAAAATATTAACTTTGGGGGAATGTTGTCTGCCAACGTTGGGGAAGTGTTGGCTACCAACGTTAAGGTAATGTTGGCTGTCAACATTGGGCCAATGTTGAATTCAATGCGTCATCGAATTCAATTTAAAATACATCGTCACAGAAATTCCATTCGGAAGGGAATTGCTAATTCATTAGCAAAAATGTATTGACTATATTGTGACGAAAGCAATTTCCCAATTGTTGAAATGTTTCTTTCTTATGAAATTGGGAATGAGAATGTGGAATTGAGGAACGAGATGTCGATGAGGTTCGGAACGGTCTGAATCGCTTGGGCGTCACAAGAATTAAGAAAACCAAAAAATCTCATCATTTTTTTTCTTAAATTTTTAGATGAAATTCCAACTATTTTCACTCTCATGAGCCTTCCAGAATACATGAGAGTCTGAATTTCACGTAAAAGTGTCTATAAACAGCGATTGCTATGCTCTCCACAGACAATTACCAACAACAATCGTGGAAAAAACGAAGTGAATGACAAATTCATCAATTGAAATTGAATTCTGCTCTTTTGTGCACCGAAAATTTAAAGATAAAGGAGCAATGGAATAGCCCCTCTCGATATTGAGTCTGAAAACGACTCAGATGCCAAATAGCCAGAGGGTGCATACACCGAATCTCACGAAGTAGAAGAACATTTTCTTCGATCAGACATGTTACTCTTGGCTGAATAAGCCAAACTACCCCTTGGAATTGTTTCTTGATGCATGATGAAATGCACATTCGATGGAACACATATTTGCAGATGTATCTGTCAGTATCATACAGAGAAGAAATTTTTTTAGTTGCAGTGTTTTCAGTTATTCGTGAGCTGAGCACGGATATAGCCATCAGTGAGTCAAGTTCACTCAGCGAAGATCGAGTGGGCATCCGTATGGTTGAACGGCCAACGGCCAAGCTGAAGTGGTGCTTTTACGACTTTTTATCTCAAATCTCAACGATTGGAGTTGCGCTTGGATAAGCTTGCTTACACACACTATTCCGTGTGTTTGCCACCTTTCAGTCTCATAATACATTTTTTTAACCATGAACAACATCAGGGGAATTTAATTGGAGTTAGTGTTTTGGAGCTTTCAATGGTATTTCGGAATTTTTTTTTGGAAATTCCAAACAGAAAGTCAGTTTTTGCAGGTGACGCCTGCTTACAAAAGTGATGAGGATCAGAAAGCTCTTAGGGTATTCAAAAAATACGAAATATTTCTTTCTATTAAAATCGAAAACCTAAAAAAACGAATTGAAAAAAATCGGATGATTTTTTCAGGTGACGCCTGGTTAGAGGGGTCACAAGGGCCAAAAACTTATCTTCAGTGTGTAGAACTTGTTAAAACCGAATAGAAAACACAAACAATTTTTTTCCCTTAAAACTGAAATTGAAAAAAAATAAATAAAAAATTTTACCTTTTTTTAAGGGACATTTAATTACAAGGGTCACGAGGGTCAAAAACATATAAATTCAGTGGTCATGAAGGTCATAAGGCCCAAAAAGCTCTCCCGAAAACCTGAAAAAAAATGTGAAAAAAAAATTTCCAACAAAATCAAAATCTTGAGCTAACAAAATTAATAAAATCCCCCGAAACTTCAACTGTACTCCACTCCCCATGTTTTTCCGGTCAATTAGCAATTGCTCTCCCCCAAAATTTAATTTTGCATCCGTAGATCTGCACTCTTGTGTGAACCCAGAATTAATAGATGCCGGGGATTAATCGAAACAAGCCTATAATTATACGGCAGTTATCGTCTAGACTGGTGCAGCTCGATCGGGTATGCTGATTGCAATTAAGTGGATGATTGCTTCTTGTTCCACTACGTTATGCTGTCGTCCAAGCCCCCCGCTCTGTCCCTTCGCCCATGCCGTCGCACTGGTGGTGGCGCTATTGAAGGTTCTTGCGAATATGATCACGTTTACCAACTGGGAATTCTGGTACTCCAATAATGCTTGGATGCACTTGATTCGGTGGAAGCAGCCAATGTCGTAACAGTCTCATTTATTTTTGAGGAATCATAATGGGAGTTCATTCCCTCCAGCCAATTCTTCGGGCATTGCCGGTGAACTAGATTCAGTAGTCTCAATATTTCGGTATTTCAGGCTGTTTTGAAGATTGTATTATGGAGAGGATAGTCCATTTGGGAACTGATCCAATTATTGAAGTAGTCGAATTTCATGTTTTTGTAATGAATCGTCAGTAGCAAGTCGATTTATAAAAGAGGAAAAAATAGTTTTCTAATTTATTTTTAAAATATATCACAGGGTTTTTAAATAATTTTTCATCACGCTGTGCGAAAAAGTAACTTTTTAGGCACGCTTCGCGGGATCACTGGCGACGAGACCCCTGAACTATCCGGCAACCCTGCGACGAAACACTCTTCGCTCGGGTTCACCATCGATAAGTCGCACTTCGCAAATAATTTTTTTTATGCTCTTTGAGCTCCTGTTAATTATTGTAAACTATTTTTCGGTGTATGCCGGGATTTGCCGGCCATCTCCTGACTTCGCCACCGTACTGAGGGTCCAGACGAGTTTACCCTGGAGTTTCTCGCGTATTAAGCGGTGAGCGTAATTATTCTTGTGAGTGCTCACGTGGTCAAAATATTCGTTTCTCCGGTGGCCATTTTGGCACCGTTTGAGTTTTTAGAATTCGAGCCTTTGCCTTCGGGACGCGGCACTCAGTGGCCTTTGGCCTATTTTCTGTATTGTTTATTATTGAACATTATTAGTCCGTTCATTTCATTTATTGATTTTTGGAAATTTATTGTTTTTTGCTGCGTGGCTCTCACGTTATCGTCGCGTTCGTGTGATCCTCACGTCCGTGGGGTCATCCACGCCATTCTGTTTCGGATATTTTGCATTTTAAATTAATTATTATCGGAGGGATTATTTAGAATCCTTTACTATTCAGTTTTCTTGGTTAATCATATTGCGATTACATACTTTTTTGTTGTACCGCGTCAGGCGATAACCAAGTTATTTTTATTTTCCATTTTCCTTGTATTGAAATATTATCATTTCTGCAAATTTATTCTTTCGGGTTATATAACATCTTGGAAGATCTCTATTTTTTTTATTGTCAGAATATATATATTTTTATTTATCGAACTCGGTGCCCAGAGTACATTTTTTTATGCCCGTTCCCCCACGCCTCCGCGGTTTCATCTGAGCTAGGGGGGAAGTACAGGGCTGGATACGCGTGACCTTGTTCATTGAAGATCAAATGGACTGGTGCTCGTTTTTGTATCGGTTCCTCTCGAGTTGCCCCGTGATTAACAATTACTACGCACGTCTTATGTCAACACCTCCAGACGCACGAAAAACGACATAATGTTAATTAGTTGAAAAGCGTATAATTTAACATACCAATTTCATGCAGTGTACATGGTTAATTCACATTGACCTACCTACAATTGCCTATCTGCAACATGATCAGATTTTTTTATGCGATTCATTTTTTTTTTAAGTTCAAGAATTACCTATCAACTTTTTTGCTTGCTCAACTTTGCTCTCTAATAATGAATTATTGATGATCGTAGACGTTATACCACCAGTCGGTGATATAAGTGCTGAGAAGACCATCGCTTTCCTCTTCAGGTGGACCAATTCAGTGAATTATCAGTCGCATAAGGAGAAATTAGTAATAACTGTTATAGGTAGGTATCTTCAACTTGCAAAGAGTGGATTATCAGCTATAATACCCCAAGACCTTCAAAATTATCGGATATTTCCCAAGTGTTTTGTTGCTGATCCCGATCGTTGATATGCAGGAAAGCTTGAGGGAAATATCCGATGAATTTTGAAGATCGAGGGGTATTCGGAGGACAATTTCTTCAATTCTGATTTTGGCCGATCAGGGTGGAGTGTTCGGGGTTACGGGACACATTTCACCAAAATGTGAGGAATATCTGTCAAATTCGTAGAAAACAATTGACAAGCTACAGGGAAATTATCAGTCTGATAATTTCCCTGCAGCCGGGGAAATTATCAGCGTGAAACGCGTCACGTGAACCCGAATACTGCACTCTGATTGGTCAAAATCAGAATTGAGGAAATTGTCACAATTATTGATCTTGCAGTCATTTATTTCAACTAGCAAAAGAACAAACGATGGTGCGCAACCACCGAAAGGATGATGTATCCGGAAAATACACGGATTATAATGGCACGGACGAGGGAGACATCGAGCATAAACATGCCCCAGGATGGCTGAATTTCAAAACAAAAGTTGCCTGGGGAAATGTCATTGCATTTGCAATTTGGCACTGTATTACTCTCTACTCCTTACTTACATTTCCTTATTTACAATACAAGGGTCTTGTCCTATGGGGTGAGTACATGAGATATGATGGGCATGTAAGCAATAATTTAATGGAAAACTCTAGCCCTTCATAAGAATTCCATTGGAAAATTGTATTTGTTTTTTGCGCCAATCCTTCAGAAAAGTCTGCAACTTCCCCCGTCGTTATAAAATACATATTTCGTTACAGAAAAAACCTATAGATTTTGGTTTTTCTATATAACTTATTTTGTTGGGATTGTTTTTATAAAAATTCGTGGTCATGAATTTTCGTTTTTCTATTTTGAGAAGGGTACCGACGACTAATGAAATTGCGACTGTATTAATTTGTAGTTGCGAAAAATTCTCTGAAAATTTGGCTTCTCAATCCAAAATAATTTTAGTTTTTCAAATAATATAATTGAAAAAAAAACAGAATTTTAAACCGCTTCGTTTTATGTGGAAACAATCCTTAATTTTGTATGTTTAATTCATTTTTTTTTCACACAATTCAGATAGAAACTTTGAAAATTGAATAGTCTACTCTCACTGTTTATAATATTCAGCTCTATTAAATGTTAATTTGGAAGGTTTTCTAGAAGAATAATTCCTTGCAATTATAATGCGAGAGATTGGAGTTTGCCGAAGGAAAAACTTGAAGAATTGCTGAAAAAAAATTATCGTAGTGAAAATTTTGAGCATTGTCCCTAGAAAATTCAGAATCCTGTTCTCATAATTGCAACGCGGTTATCCGGGCTGAAAGAGATGAAGTAATGTTATCCTGATACGTAATTTCAGCTATCATTCTGTACTACTTCAACATGCTGTCAATTACCGCTGGTGTTCATCGCCTCTGGAGCCATCGAACGTACAAAGCAAGATTGCCATTACGAATTTTCTTAGCCGTGTGCTACTACAGTGCAGGACAAGTAAACTCTACGATTCCTACTATCTCCTGGAGCGATACAATATAATAATGATTTTGTTTCAAACCAGAATAAAATCGCTCAGTGGGTGCGGGACCACAGAATCCACCACAAGTACACAGACACCGATGCAGACCCCCACAGCATAAACCGGGGCTTCTTCTTCTCCCACATCGGTTGGCAAATGATGAAGAAACATCCGGACGTGGTGAAACGTGGTCTTGACGTAGACATGAGCGATGTTGAGAATGACCCGGCGATTGCTTTTCTAGAACGGTAAGTTGCTTCATCAAAGAAGTTCAATCAGAATTTTGGAAATAAACATGAGCGGAGAAAAAAAAATTTTTACCAAGGAATAATTTTCTTGGGAGGAATTTATTTTTTTACGAACGTATTTCTCCACGCCAGTCTGTCCCAGGTGGTCCATGCCCATCTCCAAATATTACAATAATATTAAATTATGAGATGATTATGCTGCATATGACCTTGAATGAACACCCGTCATTATTTTTCAATTTTTTTCGAATTTGAGATTTTCTTTCTTTTTCGTAAAATAATTTGGAATAATTCTAACTGTTCCCATCATATATATGTGCCCATCATAATACCTCATTCTTTACTCCATGTACTTTCGATTCGTCCTCGTTACGATTCCCTTCGTTTGAAACATTTTAATCTGAGAGAGACGCCCATGGGTTTCTGGATGAAAGCTCTTTCATCATTGCAATTATCCCTGATCAAAAAAGTGTCTTACATTCTCCGGGGGGTGGTTCTCTTTAGCTCATCCACTTAGGTGATAAGTCTACTTTATAAACTGAAAGCGAAATCTCTAATATGTATCGAAAGTCGCAGCGCTTTTACTACAGTAGATTCCCGTTATAGTCGTGCGCCTGAGGGTGTAGGGGTAGCCAATTCGGCGAACGTGACTATATTTCCTTACCCTCACCGAGCGCCCGGCGGCAACTAAATTCTCAGAACTCCGGGCGATAAGAAATAAGTAAGAAATAAACAGTTCGAGTAGTTTTTATTTTTTATAATTACCAACATTTTAATTGACATTTTCGTTGAATAATTTTTCCATTATTTACTGAATTTCCAACAATACTTGTAATCCCTTTTTGATACTTATAATCACTTTCTTCCCGTTGAAACATGATCGAGAACAGATATTTTATAAGAAGCCCACGGAACTAAACATTCGGGAGGAGATAGAAGCGTCGAGAGTGGAGGTAGGCCTCAAGCGCTCGGAGCTCGTATCTTATAGAGAGGTATCTTATATAAAGCCTCGACTGTATTACTACAGTAGGACTCCTGTAATTTCGAGCCGGCTATTTTCGACGGGCGGAGTCACTGCGTCCCCACTCTCGCGCTTTCAGTCCCCACTCCTTCCGTTTACGGAATGGTCCCATCACCTCCCGGGCGCATAGCCCTACGCTCCCGAGTGTTTCCCTAAGTTCAATCATTGGGAAAAATGTACTTTGGTGTTATCTCCTCACTGTTGCCCGACGACCGAAGACAGAGAGCAACATAATGCGTTCTCTCTCTGACCTCCCCACTACGCGCGCTTGGCCAATGAGAGCTCGGTCGACTATTTTCGACTTCTAGGAATTCGTTCCCCCGTCGGGTCGAAATTACAGGAGTCCTACTGTACTACCAATTGCCATATTTAGAGACGGACTTAGATCAGCTCTGGGAATGACTGGCCCGGAAAAATACGCTCCTAAACAAATAAATTCTTCTCGCAAAAAAATAATTCCTTGGCAAAAGTAATTTTTCTTAATGCATACGAAAACATTTCTCGCAGGCACTTTGCCTTCTTCAAAGTTCTTCTGTGCTTCGTCCTGCCAGTGGGGATTCCAGTAATCTTCTTCAATCAGGAATTGTGGGCAGCGATCATCACCCAATGGTTCATGCGATACCCAGCTGAACTGCATGCGACCTTTTCCATCAACAGCTTTGCCCACAGTATCGGCTACCGCAGTTATGACAAGTATGAACTGTCAAACATAATTCCAAAGTATCAATCATATCATCTTGATCTGACCTTCTCTCCAGATCCATCTTGCCAGTAGAGAATGGATTCATCTCCTTGTTTGCTGTTGGCGAAGGCTGGCACAATTATCATCACGTCTTCCCCTGGGACTATAAGGCAGCTGAACTACCTAGTGTTCCCTTCAATCAGGCAACCATGTGGATAAACATTTGGGCTAGGATGGGATTGGCGTATGACTTGAAGGAGGCGAATCCGGAAATGGTGAAGAGAGTTGTCATGAAGAGAGGGGACGGTAGTCATCCGGTTTACAGTCTGGAAACAGTTGGTGATGGTAAGGATTCGGGGGAGGAGCAGTCTCATGAATTGGAGCGCTAAATTATTGGTGGTGAATAAATGGAGAAAGTGGACGCGATTCTTCTTCATATTTGATTGTAACGACCAGAAATTAGCATAACATTTCTGTATATTTTTTATTGACGAATCAGTTGATTCGAATGTTCAATGGAATTACGATTTTGAGGTGCATATAACAGTAAAAAGTGTTAAAATTGAGGCGACAATTTTTTCTGAACTTTCAATGTATTCGAGAGTCAATTCAATGTAATATTCAACCTTTATTGTAAACCCCTACGAAAACGCACGTTTACCGCATTCCGCGGTCTGTCAGACTACTACTGCGTCTGGATCGCATTTCCTGTTTGTTTGAGCGAATGAATCAATACTTTTTGTAGCTGAAGGTTCAAATGACGGCGAAAACGGGAAACGATTAAACAAGGAAAGGTTTAACTTTGGAAGGGTTGAACAGAAGAGGGAAAGCGTATGGGTATATTTAATTTCATTTTTTTTTCTTTCAATGTATTTGAAATTCGATGGAATAATTTTCACAGTGAGTTGGACAGGGAATCCAATTTTATTTTTAATTTCAGTCATGATGGATTCAATTTGACATCGAATTGTTTATTAAATTTTTTATTCGTCTTTAAAATTTATTACTGAAAAATTTTATAGAGAACTTATTGCACTTTTTAAATGGATTTAAAATGTCATATATTGAAGATTCAGATTCTCCTACTTGAATTTTTTTTAAATCAATAGCACATGCGCGAAAAAATTTCACAGAAAAACCTGGTGAATTCAAATTTTCTGATAAAAAATGTCCAGTAGAAACTATTCAATAAGAAAAATCAGTTTATAGAATTTCATCTTTCTATAAAACTTTCTCTATAGAAATTTCTCGACATAAATGTTCAGAGATTTTCCACTCCATCTCTTTTTTTCAAAATAAAAAAAACTTTTTTTACAAAAAATGCCTCAATAAAATAAGATCTATAGAAAAATCTTATTCTATTGATTTCTTCTATAGAATATTTCCCGCTAAACAATTCTCTTGAAAAAAACGTGCAAGTAAGCTGCGGAATTTTTCAATAGAATCCAATCCAACAGAACCTTGTAGCGAATCCCCTTGTTTTTTTTTTATTAAATTTTTTCGAACGTCTACAGTTGAAATTTAGAAGTTCAAACCGCACAATTTGTCCATCTTAACATTTGTCCATCTTATCACGCTGGAATTGAGGATTAAAAAAAGTACAGAATGAAAAATTCCATTTCCCGTTGCAACTCAAACCCCTCCTCTCCCATCGTTTGGTCTTGGGAATTCGATGGATAGGTGAGCGTTGGACCCTGGCCAATATCGGACACCGACATACCCCGTACAATGGAATATCCGGTGTGAGAGCTTCAACCACGTTCGGTTAAATTGTCTGAACCCGAGTGAATTCTTTCCTCCAACTTCGAGTGACACATAAACACAAATTTACGATACCCCTCCCCCCTCCCCCACCCCGTTTTCAAGTTTAGATATGCATTAGGAATATCTGAGAAAAATATCATTTCAAAAGGAATGCATTCGTGGTTGTCGATTTTTCTCCCATAATCGCGAGGATATTCAGATGAAATACCGCATGATACTGTGGAAACGACCAGCAGGAAATTTTTACGATCTCGTCCATCATAAAAATTTACTTGTTGTCGTGAATTTGTCTGGAAAGAGAGAAAAATCACTGACTGTGGAGAAAATATTCGGCGGATATCTTATTTGTCGTGCATCAAAAGACCAAAATTGCCATTTTGCCTTTAAGGTGTCTGCACGGGGAGAAAAGTTGAATAAAAATTATCTAGAAAATCGCTGCAAATTTTACCGTACGAAAGATAATCGTCGAGCGAAATGTAATTCAATGATATTTTACGATTCGTTCGGTAAAAAAAACACATTTATGAATGCAAAAAATATCCTGGTCAAGGAGACGGATGGAACTGAAACTTTACCGATGACGTTCCGTTAAAAATCATTCCCGTTACAGTAAAATTACGGGAGGGTAGAGCAAAACGGACCACGGACAGAAAATTGGTAATTTTTTTTTGTGTCCTTCAAATCAGGAGCGCGGAATGTGTTGAATTGAAAGTGAGTTTATTGGATTGTAACCGTCACAGGGGTTTTATAGACAAGAAGTGTCTTTAACCCCAATTTGTTCAGATTTTCTAATCACCTCAAACCATAAATGACTTTAAAAAGCCAATATTTCCTAGGAATCTGTGTGTCTAAAGGTAAAACGAATATTTTTATATTCATTAGGTGCCCGCTAGTTTAAATTTGCCGTCTAAAACAGTGTATTTGGATACGAGCGCGTAAAAGTGTTTTTTGACACGTGTGTAGCGCTCCCACCCTCCCAAGAGTCAAAGAAAACTTTTCCCACTAGTGTCGAATCCTATTCTTCATTACCATGTGCGCAAAATTGCACTTTACGCACAAGTAGGGAGAACTGTTTCATCATTCATAAATCATTTTTTTCAGGCCGAGATCTAGAAAAAAAAATAAAAAATTCCCAATGACGCAGTAGACTCAGATATTTCTCCCGTGAATTTTTCAATATTTTTTCATTCCTCTGACTTTTCGCACGAAACACCTTAATTTATTCCGGCACAAAGTGGTTTTCTATTGACATTAAAGTTAACACTGAAAAAAACAATGGTACACGTTTATCGAGACCAGAGAAAGGCGAAATTCCCATCGCCTCTAACAGAAAATGGATTTTCGATGGAAGAGAATCGTTATCGAGGTACTTTGCATATTCAATTTTTTTCTCTTTTTTTCACTCCGCCCATCGAATCCCTTCCCCTCTCCCCCACCTCCCGCGACACCCTTCTTTTTTCTTTTCGTCACGCCTTGGCAGTATCGGGCGATCTCCTCTCATCGTCCACGCAAATAGCGAATACAAAATTTAATGTAAGCAAAAGACATACACCAATGTGGTATAATAACGAGAGAATGAAAATAGAGGAAATGGAGAGAACAGGGGACGAAATTGAGAATTTATTCTTGCAATTTTATCACACCAGTGGTTCAAGCTCGTTGGGGCAATATGACAGCTCAGGGGTAATGATGGTAATTCTGGAATCACCATTTGGGGGTTGGAGTTGGGACATTTTGCGTTTGGATTATCATATTTTTCGAATAATTTTTGGATGACGAATTGAAATAATTTTTTATATTGATATTCATTGAAATAATTCATGAGTTATACGCACGAAAAAATTTCATAGAGAAATAATAAATTTCATAGATAACTCTATTAGTTTTGGGCAGATCGTATTGCAGAATTCCATCTTTACAATTTTTTCTATTGCGATACTAGGGGCCTATGCCCCCTATCCTTATTCTGACCCTCGTGACCCTTATTTTGACCCTTAAATTTGATTACCAAATTTTAATCACCAGAAGTCAATTTGAGTTTTTTAATATAGAGAGATTTTCTATAGCAATTCCTCGACCTGAATTTTTTAGTTTGTTTCCACCCAATTTTTTTTCTCTTATCGGAGAAATCACACAAAAAAAAACTTGGAAACTTTGAGACTGAGGAATTTCAATAGAAAATATCTCAATAGAATAAGTTGTATCAAAAACCCAATTCCATAAATTTTTCAATGCAATATTATTTAATTTACCTTTGAAAATTTAGAATAATGAAAACATCAATGGAAATCTAATAGAATTTTCACACACAACATTCAATAATTGTATAATCCATATTCTGACGAGCACATCTCCCTCAATGTTAAAACACTCTGCAATTTATTCGAGAAAAATCTCACTACTCCCGCTAAAAATTCCGTGCAAATATCATATGTTGGTTTAGCAACCAGGATATTTGATGTCAACACTGTGATTGGCACGAAATATATCATGACACTGCTGTGCGAGAGTTTGATTAACTCGTCAGTGTGTTAAGCTCCCTATGAATTCATGTGTGTCGATACCGACTTAATCATCATGTCACTTGGAGGCTATTGCTAACGAGATTTTAGGCTGAAACATTTTCCATCGTTATCACAACATTATACTGTCAAAACAAAATGTCAGAGGTTCGGTAATAACTGAAGGTGACATTGAATTCGCTTGGAAATTGGAGTGGACTAACAATAGATGTGGAGGCGTTACACGTTCGACAAAATTTCACAGAAAAATCTAGCGAATTCGTCAGAAAATTCAATTGCATTTCTATTGAAATTTCTATTAACTTCCGCTGATTCTATTGTTCAATGGAAAATGTTCTATAGCAAAAATTAATAGAATTCGATTTTTCCATACAACTTATTCCATTGAAATATTTTCTGTACGAATTCTTTGCACACAATTTTCTACTTTTTTGCTCGTTTTAATGAAAGGAGAAGAAAAATGGAGTGCAGAAAACATGAAGAATTAATATCCCACAATTCGCATAAAAAATATTTCAATAAAAAAAGGCATAATTCAATAGAATCTATTAGAATTCCCTAGATTTCTCTTTGAATTTTTCTGAATAAAATAACCACTCCTTATTCTCACTAAAATAAACAAAGTCATAAAATCATGCCATTTAATCTTCAATGCCTCGACTCAATTAGCACCACCTCTTCAGTATAAAACCACAAAATCCAATTACACGAGTAGTATGAACAATGAACGCCACCACCAACAATCACACCGTTTGCCCATTTTTTTTTGCCATGAAAAAAAAGCATTAAAAATTCATCAACACTGCCTTTTGCATCCCATAAAAAAGCGCCATTGACAATATAACCAACGCCCCCTCCCCCCACACACCGAAATTGTTTATCTCCATATGGTAAATCGCGAGAGTAATACCTCCGCCCGCGCCCCGCCACTGAAAGATTTATATGCATCAGGAACGTTTACTTTATCGGATCTTACGACCAAGTTTTAGTAAAGTGTCGTCGTTGCCCGAGTGTGGGCGTGTGCTATCCTTTTAGGGGCTTTCGTACCGTTGGAAGATTAAGGTAAAGGCAGTATGCGTCGTCGGGTCTACTGGGATTTTATACATTTGAAGTAGCGTCACGTAAGACTCAAGTTTCCACGTTTAAGCCGAGAAACGATCCAAACCTCTTAATCTCCCCTAGTATTTTCGCTTGGATTATTTTGTTTCTAGCTTTTTGTCTGTCTCACACCGCAAAATAAATTACCAAAAACTTGGAGATTAGGGGGATTGAGAGTATTTGATGTGTGCCCGCAGGGAAAAATTTTTTAT